GAGAAGTTCACCGTTCAGAAAGTCACCGGTTGTGCGTGCGCAGATTGTGCTGTACCGGAAATGGTTATTCGTGGAAAAGCAGTTGATCCTGAAGGGAATCCGGTAAAGAAAGGCGAGATAACTGTGGCAGATGGAGGGGGAAAGTACGCAACAGATCTGAGAGGAAATTTCAAGATTGTCGCTAAACCTGGAACCAAGAGACTGGTGATGACCATAAAAGACAAGCTCCAAGGACTGTTAATGGACACGACAAAAGTATTTACACTTCATGAGGGTCAGGTGTCATTCTACACCATCGTGCTACAAAAGAAACCACCTGTTATTAAATTCCAAGCCAACGAGGAGCAGAAAATACCTCTTGGTGGAATCGATGGAAGACCCAGTTTTGTCGACCTCGGCATTCCAGCAAATTGCTTCGTTACTGCTGACGGGAGTATCTACGATGGCGAAATCACAGCAAACATCGGCGTGATCGATCCTAGAAGCGAGGCTGACATGGCAGCAGCTCCGGGCGATTTTTCAGCGATAGACGAAAACGGAGAGGAGGTGATGCTGGGCACAGCGGGAATGTTGAGGCAGGCTTTTACTGACGATAATGGCCGTCAGCTGAGCCTGAGCAAGAACATCACTGTCCGAATAGACGCTGACCTGTTGGATATACCCCCTGGCGTTACAGTTGCGCAATGGTATCTTAACCAGAAAACAGGCCGCTGGGTCAAGTTTGGAGAGCTGCGTCCTGCTGAAAGCGATGAAGTTTCGGGGCAGAAGAGACAAGCAAGGAAGTTCTTTGTGGGAGAAATTACACCAGATGTTCCTCCGGACAACATTAACTGGGATTACGTTACTGTTGCCAGCCATGTCCGAATTACAGCTCCTCCAGGTACCGTGGTGACTCGCATTCATATGAGCGATGATGGTCAACAGTATACTTCTTACCGTCAAGAAACCGTTCCCGCCAGTGGAACCCTGTGCATTCTATCTTTACGAGACAAGCGAGCAATTCTGCAGGCAGAACTTAATGGAGCGCCTCTAATTCCACAGCAGACCAGCAACTTCCCTGCAGCAGTGAACCCGCAAATTATCGAACGATCTCCCGCCGGCACACTTTACAAGCTCCAGTCGTTTCAGTTTACTTCTACTAAAGTGGATGACAGAGGCCCAGTGTATCTGAAAGGCGAGGAAGGCCGATGCGGGCAACACCAAGCAAGCGACTTGGCGTTTGAATTTGAAGAAGCCAATTCCGGCCAACTGTTCAACTGGGAAAGTCCTCGAAATGAAAATCCTAACGATCCCCGCTTCTGGGATGTGAGGCCAGATGAGATTTGTTTCGTCAAAGCGCTCGTTACCGGATCGAGACCCGACTCGGTCATATATGTTAAGAGTACCGGAAAAGCTCCTGGTCAACCTGACGTGAATTACGGTTACAGTGCAGAGAAGAGTGCAGCGGTCCCCTCAGGCTCAGATGGTATAGTGTGCTTGGAGTACCGATGCAATGAAGGCCCGCAAGTGGCATACCAGACCCACCTACAGTTCCTTACTCTGACAGGAACATGCACAATTCAGAATCTCAATAATGTTCTGGATGGGGCACAATCGCGATGTCCTGTGACACCAGATGGTTCCACTAGCCGCGAGCGCAACTTTTGTGTGCCAAGTGACTTGGTGGGGGGAGACGCAGGGTTGTACACGGGTGATCCAGCTGTGGCCAAGAACAGGTGTGTCACTGGAAACAACCAGTACAATTCAGGACGACCGATTGCCACAACTACAAACCCTACTGTGACACTTAACTGCAGGTTAGTGACCCGGGGAGGGAGGGAGGGAGGGAGGGAGGGAGGGAAGGAGGGAGGGAGGGAGGGAGGGCATTAGCACGGCGTTTGAAACGGGCCTTACCTTATTATCACTTATTTTCGCGGGACTTAATTTTCGCGAT